CGCCCCGGGCGGGTGCGGGGCCCCGGGGGGGGGGGGGGGGACAGAGACCTTGTGGCCTGGGGACCTTGCTCAGGTCTTCCATGAAAGGGAGGGGATAAAATGTGTAGAGAAGATGCCAAAGCCGTGACATTCCCATGTATAAGGAATTCCAAAGCCTCTGGAGAAATTACAGGAGCTCTGTGCCCAGGGCCTGTCCCTCACCAGCCTTTGGAGCAGCAGCCCCTCTCCCAGGAGGGTGGGCTTCCCAGGCTGTTTTGCTTTTACAGTTGTGACGTCTTGGTTCTTGTCCTTTCCCCCAGCAAGTTCCAGGCTAGCCCAGTGGCAGAGCATAGCAAGTGTTTGCCAGCTTGGTCTTCACTGGCTCTGTTCCAGTCTTCAATAACTGCTGTCCATCCTGCCGCCCTCCTTCCAGTCCTGGCCTCACAGGAAGGCTGGAGGAGGAGCTCAGATGGCCTCTTTCTGTTTGCCTTAGTTTTCTATTAAACAAACAAAAAGAAAACAACTCCATAAAGTTCTGTAAGTCTCCCAGGCTCCTTCTGAGGAAGGGACAAAGTCAAAAACAGCTTGTTGCTGACTCGCTGGGTTTTTATAAACTTTGTGGTAAATACAGGGAGCAATAAAGTTACCATTTCAGCCATCTTTTAGAGTACACTTCAGTGACATTAAGCCCCTCACACAGCTATGCAGCCCATAGAGCCTCTTCATTGCTCACGCTGAAACCCTGACTCCCCAAACCCCCTGATCCCTAGCCCGATTGTCCCCACCTATCTAATTCCAGGGAAATTCCTCCCTAAGTGGAATCAGGCAGTATGCGTCCTTTTGTATCTGTTTCACTTGGCATGATGACTTCTTCCTGTGACCTGCGTCAAAAATCCTTTCCTTTAAAGGTTGGAGAATACACCCCTGTGTGGCCAGACCACACTCTCTCCATCCCCTCTTTCTCCTCTTGATTCCTCCCCCTCCTTGGGACTTGCTTTCTAGCCTGGGCTGGCCTCAAACGAACAACCATCCTGCCTCAGCCTCTCGAGGGCTGAGAGTGCATGCATGAACCACTCTGCCCTGCCCCTCATCTGTCAGTGGTTGTTGATACATTTTAGGTTTTGTGAATAATTGTTGCTGTGGACACAGATGTTAGACACACCTGTTTGAGACCCTACCAGCGAGTCTTTTTCTTTTACTTTTTTAAATTAGCATTTCCATACAAACTGTTCTTACTGTCTTACTTCCAATTCTTTGGGGTAGGTGCAATTGTTCAATTCACTTTATTTTTGGTGTTTGTATTTTTCTGGCACTGGAGATCATATCCAGGCCTTGTGACCTAGACGAACGCTGTCCCACTGAGCTGTACCCAGCTGTTTTTCATGTTCTGAGAGGTCTCTCTGCTGTCGTCCTTCGTAGCGGCCACATTTTACATTCCCACAGACAGTGCTTGGGGCTCCAGTTTCCCACGTGTTCCCCACTTACTCTCTGGCTGTTTTATAGTAGCCATCCCAGTGGGTGGGGGGTAAAATTGCACTGTAGTTTAAATTTGCGTTTCCTCGGTGACCAGATGCTAGCACCTGTCTGCATCAGCCCCTGGCTGCCTGCCACTGTCCCTCTGCTGACCACAGAATGTCCCCAACCTCAGGTTCTATGCTGCTGAGATCTGTATTGCTCTCAACTTCCTGCATGAGAGAGGGATCATCTACCGGGACCTGAAGCTGGACAATGTCCTCCTTGACGCCGATGGGCACATCAAGCTAACGGACTATGGCATGTGCAAGGTGCCTGCCCTACCCGTCCCCCACCTTGCCTGCCCGCTCTTGACATTCTTCAGAAATGCTCAGAGATGGCCATGCTGAGGCCACGCTTATAACTTTCCTGAATCAATTTTCCCTGGGTCACACCTCCCCAGGAGTGGCCCTCTGCATGAGATTCACCCTCCTGGTAACTCTGTCCCCACAGGAAGGCTTAGGCCCTGGTGACACAACAAGCACCTTTTGTGGAACCCCGAACTACATTGCCCCGGAAATCCTGCGGGGGGAGGAGTACGGTGAGTACTTGGCACATGGGAGGCAAATGTATGTGGGCACCGTCCAGAAGCCATCCCTACCTAGTGATGTGTACTCAGAGCAGGAATCTGTCCAGCCCACCCCTACAAGGGTCCTAGCCCAACAGGCAGGGAGAGATTTATGACCATATTACACCTCAAACCAGAACTCACACCCTCCTGGTGTTCCCAGCCAGATATCAGCCCTGTAAACCTCGCTGAGCCTATCAGTGTCCACCAGAGGACCCTGGACGGGATTCTTCTCATCGAGGGGTCCTAAGTCTGGGAAGGAGGAAAAAAGAGGATGAAGCCAAGACAGACCCCAGGGTCAGATCATGGCACCTCAAGTCGCTGGGCACCGGCTGTGCATGTGTAGATGATCCAAAGTGTCACTGGGGATGGTGGGAATGCCTCATTCAGGACCCAGACCAAAGGGTCAGCGAGGGCACCCTGCAGACACCAGTGCATGCTTCTGTTCTCCTCTGTAGTGCAGCGAGGGACGTGGTGTGTGTGTGCAGCATGTGCCTGTGTGTCGGCTCTGAGGGGTATACAGCATGCAGTATGTGTGTATATTTTTTCTTGCTGTGCATGCAGGCTAATTATGTATGTTGTACCTGTGTGTTCATACACTGTATGTGCACACCCCCACACACTTTTGTATCCTAGTGTATTCTGTCACCCATGTGGGATTACAGGCATACACGCTACACCTGACTCATCTTAGTGACTTCAGTGGAGCCTGTTGTAAACAGATATCCACATATATCCTTATATATTTTCTTTGCTATAAGATGGGGGTGGGACAGGCAGTGTGTGGGGGTCACTGACCCTGGAGAATAATTTGGCTCCCAGAACCTGTGGGCCAAGTGATAGCCTAGGTACATCACAGTGCAGGTAGAAGAGTCACAGCCACACACACAGTTCTGCAGCTCGTAAGGAAACAGACACCCAGCACAGTGAATAAAGGGCAGTCCAGGCACCTAGGGAGATGAATGCCAGCTCCTTTTGGCATACTCATGTTCATATGGACTGAGCCTGTCAAACAGACCACTGACCCGCATTTTCCTTCCTGCCTACCCTCCCCCAGGGTTCAGCGTGGACTGGTGGGCACTGGGTGTCCTCATGTTTGAGATGATGGCTGGGCGCTCCCCCTTCGACATCATCACAGACAACCCCGACATGAACACTGAAGACTACCTGTTCCAAGGTCTGTGCCCCCGCCTCCCCGGTGCGCCCACTCCCTAACCCTGCATATTCGTTTCTTCCTTTCTCAAAGACAAGGATGAGGGCACATCTGGGCCGGTGCCTCCGCACCAACCAAAGCATACGTTGGACCATCCCGACAGGGCGTCCCCACAGTGGCTCCTGGGGCTCTAAGGGGGTCAGGGTGGCTGTGGAGTGTAGTGAGTGACTGCAGTTCACAAGAAAGAAAATGCCCTGGTTTTAGCCAGAGCTCCTTTTACCTGGTCAGGTGAATTCCCTGCAACTCCAGACAGCCCCCTGCCCCCATTCCTGGTCAGAGTTAATGGACATTGATATGTGGGTCCAGAGTCAGGGCTGAACCTCAGTGCCCCCTGGTGGCCAGTGTACAGCGGCCTCCAATGTCCTGAGACAAAAACAGTGTGGGGGTGAGGGGGAGTAATGGGGGGAGTGCTGATTCATACATGGTTATGCAGTATGTGCAGTCGTATGCCACCAGGGGTCCCCAGTTGGACCCAGCAGGCCTCCAACAGGAAGAGGCTCCAGGGCTACAAGTCTGAGCATCTAAAACACCTGCTAAGAAATGTGGTTCCAGCTGGGTGTGGTGGCCTTGTAATCCCAGCTACTCAGGAGGCAGGAGGCCGGCAGGAAGGTCAGAAGCTCCAAGTCAGGCAGGTACACACATAGAGACTATTCCAGAGAAGCAGCAGGGGGCCTGCAGGGTAGAGCAGACAGCACCAAAGAGTCTCCTCACCCACCTCTCGTCCTCACAGTTATCCTGGAAAAGCCGATCCGGATCCCCCGCTTCCTCTCTGTCAAAGCCTCACACGTCTTGAAAGGATTTTTAAATAAGGTATGCTCTGTCCGTAGGGACCCTCTGGTACCAAGCCATCATGGGATGGGGGGTAGGCAGAGCCCCCCCTCCACTACTGGAGTCCTTCTTGCCAACCGCCACTCAAGATGTGCATTCGAATGTCTGCTTTGGTACTGGGCTCTGCATTCTGTTTTCGATTTTTATTAATACTAAAATCAATGAGAAAGAAGCCCATCGAGAAGGGAGTCCCAACCAAGGGTCGGTCACACCCAGCAGGGGAACAGCTGCTGGAGAGCCTGAGCGGGACAGGGGAAGCTTAGTTACCCTGTTGGGCACAGGTTGAATCAAGGGTTCCCTTGGAGGACCTTGTTAATCTTTGAACTCTGACCCCCAGGACCCCAAAGAGAGACTCGGTTGCCGGCCACAGACTGGGTTTTCCGATATCAAGTCCCACGCCTTCTTCCGCAGCATAGACTGGGACCTGGTAAGCCTTGAAGGGTCCCTCATGCCCATGTTTGATGTGGGCAGGTCGCACAGACAGAGTGGGTGCCTGGTGGATGGGGTCCCCAAGGTCATTTTCTTTAGAGTTGCGATTGGTTTTCAAAAGCTCCCTGGTCTCCATCTGTCCTGTCACTAGTTACTGGTCAGGGTGGCAAGCCCAGGGCTTAAGGTTCTTACTTTAGTCCATTCCTGGTCATAGAATTTGTGTCAAAATATAGTTGGAGTTACTGAATTGTAACCTGTAAACTATGTTCTTTTAAGGGGAAAAAAAAAAGATTAGCTCATTGAATAAAATAGGAATTTGCCCAGCTCTGGCAATGGGTGTCTTCCTCTTCTATCTACCCTGACCTTTCCAGACAGTCCACAGTCAGCACTGACGTCCACATCCCATCCCTAGAGACAGAGCAGGATCTTGTCCACGTGACCATTATGTTTTATTTACAGGATTGTTGTCTGTGTCTGGGCCCTGGGAGGAGGTAGGAAGGAACTGGTTCTCAGGAGCAGCAGGCAGGCAAGACAAACATTGCCCCCCACAACCTGTGGCCCTTCCAGAGCTAAACTACGCTATTACATGTCAGAACCTGATAATCTCCAGCATTCAGATATGCTTATTCAAAATTCAGAGCATTGAAACTATTTTTTTACATTTAGTTGTATTTGCACCTGTGTGTGTGTGCGTGTGTGTGTGTGTGCACATGTGTGCACATGTGTGCACATGCCCACCTGTGTATGTGAACACATGTCACATGTGTGGAAGTCAAAGGACAACTTGGAGTCAGTTCTCTCCTTCCACCATCCTGGGTCCTGGGGATCAAACTGGTTGTCAGGCTCGGCGGCAAACACCTTTATGTGCTGAGCCATCTCATTAGTCTTTTTGAGACAGGGTCTCCCTCTAGCCCTAGCTGGCCTGGAACTCCCTATGTGGACCAGGCTGGCCTCGAACTCACAGAGATCTGCCTGTCTCTGTCTCTCGGGATCAAAGGCAGGCGCCACTACGCCCGGCTATGGCCCATGCGCTTTGTAAGAACCTGCTTTATGAACTTCTCATTTCATTGTGGTACTAACAGTGACTGCCTTGCAGACTAGGGGAGGGAGGTGCAACCTGAATCCTGGATTTCTGCTTCAGACAGTTCCAGGGAGAGGGCTCTGATGGGTCTGGGAGACTAGAAACATAGACAAGACCTGCTTCTGAGAACAGAAATACAGCCTGCTTCCCTCCTGGGACTGGGGATTTGGATATTGTCTGTGCGTGGCATGCCATCCCTAACAGTAACCTTGTGCACTGGATCCTTTAAACCACTCTTCTCTAGACTCACAACAGAAGCTGCCCTGGAGCTTGGCACCCAGGTCCTCCCTGGGTCTTAGCTACCTGCTTTTCTCCCAGTCTCCCTGGAGAAGGCAGGAGTCAGGTGGGGTGGGGGTACCTGCCAGCCATGCTCAGCAGTCCAGACAAGGCCCAAGTGGGACCAGTCCTCCTCCCCTCTACTGGGATGCAGGGATGGGGCGCGTGCTCCGCTGAGCACACAGACTACACTGTGAGCTCTGTCCCGGCCTTCACTGGGCCATCCGGCATATTCTTGGCTGCCAAGTCACCACCGGAAGGTTTGGCTATTAGCACAAAAGCCATGGGGAAGTTGCTGGAAACAGTCCCAGGCAAAGCTCTGACTGGTCGGTAGATTGGTTCTGAAGGAAATGGGTCCACATAGAAAAGTCCTGACTCCCTGAGGATGCTCAGCTGAGGCTGCCCACCCCAAGGGTCTGTTCAGACCCTCCGTGCCCAGTGCCCCAGAGGGATTTGACAGAATGTAAGATATGTGAGGTGTTTATCTTTCCTACAGTTCCAATCCCTAACCCCCTCATGAACTGGGGAGAGCTGAGACAGCCACCTGGGCATTGCCACCACTTGCCATCAAACCTACTGTTCCAGGTTGCTGGCAGGTGCCATGGCTACCAGCCACCCTAAGCAGTGACTCAGCCTGTGGCTAAAACTGGCTCCCATGACATCAGTTCCCACCAGTGGGAGCTGACAGGAAATTGATGGCCTCCACTCTCACCCTCAATCAGGTCATTTAAAAGGACCCAGATGAGCAGGATGGCTCAGCAGGTAAAGGTGCTTGCTGCCAAGCCTGACAACCTGAGTCTGATCCCTGGGACCCACATGGTAGAAAGACAGAATCAACTCCTACAAGCCATCTGCTGAGCTCCACACATGCACCATGGCACAGGTACACACATACACACAAGTAAATAAATAGGTCCAGAGTTTTGGGAAGAAAGGCTCCAGAGAGAAAAGCAAGGAGGGAAGGCTCTGTGCCACAGAACCTTCCAGTTGCCCAGGCAACCTGGCAAAGGAAAGAGATAGACAGTTTCTTGGTCATAGGACCAGCTATGCACAGAGTCTGTCAGGAGAGGAGAGATGGAAAGATGTTTGAGGACAGTGAAGGGCTACACGAGGCCTTACTGTGAGGACGGTGAAGGGCTCCACGAGGCCTTACTGTGAGGATGGGGAAGGGCTGCACGAGTGCCCGAGGCCTTACTGTGAGGATGGGGAAGGGCTGCACGAGTGCCCGAGGCCTTACTGTGAGGATGGGGAAGGGCTGCACGAGTGCCCGAGGCCTTACTGTGAGGATGGGGAAGGGCTGCACGAGTGCCCGAGGCCTTACTGTGAGGATGGGGAAGGGCTGCACGAGTGCCCGAGGCCTTACTGTGAGGATGGGGAAGGGCTGCACGAGTGCCCGAGGCCTTACTGTGAGGATGGGGAAGGGCTGCACGAGTGCCCGAGGCCTTACTGTGAGGATGGGGAAGGGCTGCACGAGTGCCCGAGGCCTTACTGTGAGGATGGGGAAGGGCTGCACGAGTGCCCGAGGCCTTACTGTGAGGATGGGGAAGGGCTGCACGAGTGCCCGAGGCCTTACTGTGAGGATGGGGAAGGGCTGCACGAGTGCCCGAGGCCTTACTGTGAGGATGGGGAAGGGCTGCACGAGTGCCCGAGGCCTTACTGTGAGGATGGGGAAGGGCTGCACGAGTGCCCGAGGCCTTACTGTGAGGATGGGGAAGGGCTGCACGAGTGCCCGAGGCCTTACTGTGAGGATGGGGAAGGGCTGCACGAGTGCCCGAGGCCTTACTGTGAGGATGGGGAAGGGCTGCACGAGTGCCCGAGGCCTTACTGTGAGGATGGGGAAGGGCTGCACGAGTGCCCGAGGCCTTACTGTGAGGATGGGGAAGGGCTGCACGAGTGCCCGAGGCCTTACTGTGAGGATGGGGAAGGGCTGCACGAGTGCCCGAGGCCTTACTGTGAGGATGGGGAAGGGCTGCACGAGTGCCCGAGGCCTTACTGTGAGGATGGGGAAGGGCTGCACGAGTGCCCGAGGCCTTACTGTGAGGATGGGGAAGGGCTGCACGAGTGCCCGAGGCCTTACTGTGAGGATGGGGAAGGGCTGCACGAGTGCCCGAGGCCTTACTGTGAGGATGGGGAAGGGCTGCACGAGTGCCCGAGGCCTTACTGTGAGGATGGGGAAGGGCTGCACGAGTGCCCGAGGCCTTACTGTGAGGATGGGGAAGGGCTGCACGAGTGCCCGAGGCCTTACTGTGAGGATGGGGAAGGGCTGCACGAGTGCCCGAGGCCTTACTGTGAGGATGGGGAAGGGCTGCACGAGTGCCCGAGGCCTTACTGTGAGGATGGGGAAGGGCTGCACGAGTGCCCGAGGCCTTACTGTGAGGATGGGGAAGGGCTGCACGAGTGCCCGAGGCCTTACTGTGAGGATGGGGAAGGGCTGCACGAGTGCCCGAGGCCTTACTGTGAGGATGGGGAAGGGCTGCACGAGTGCCCGAGGCCTTACTGTGAGGATGGGGAAGGGCTGCACGAGTGCCCGAGGCCTTACTGTGAGGATGGGGAAGGGCTGCACGAGTGCCCGAGGCCTTACTGTGAGGATGGTGAAGGGCTGCACGAGTGCCCGAGGCCTTACTGTGAGGATGGTGAAGGGCTACACGAGGCCTTCCTCTGGGGACGGTGAAGGGCTACACGAGGCCTTCCTCTGTGGACGGTGAAGGGCTACACAAGGCCTTCCTCAGAAGACCCCAGGCTCAGGGCTTCAGAGACTAAGTGCCCAAACAAGGCCATGGAAAGGTGCAGGCATCAAAAATGGGGTCACAGCTGCTACCAACCCAGGCCTACCTCCCTGCCCTTGAGGACACTGAACAGGCCCTGCAGGCTGTCAGCCTCATTGCCCAGGACCAATCTGTACAACCATAGGGCTAATGAGCCCAACTTCAGAAGGCAGTGGTGGCAGCACCATCCTGGCCCTCCAGACATTTCTTTGGCTTGGACACCAAGTCTGATACCCACAACTACCTGTGTGCTCTCTGGTAACCAACCTGCCCACAGCAGTGCTAGGAAATGGCTCCTAAATATTCCATTGGGCTGGTTAGTGGATTCAGAGCAGACCCACTGTGGGCTCAGGGATGACACCAAAGGCTGCCCAGCATCATGCAGCTTTCTCGCTCTCTTTTTCTTTTTTTTGGTCTTTTTGAGACAGGGTCTCCTGGTAGCCCCAGCTGTCCTGGAACTCACTATGTAGATCAGGCTGGCCTTGAACTCACAGAGATCCGCCTACCTCTGCCTCCCGTGTGCTACCACGCCCCGCAGCTTTCTCTTTTTAAAAAATATTTTATTATTTTTTATTTAATGTGTATGAGTGTATTGCCTGCATGTATGTAAGTGTACTTTTTTCATGCAATGCCTATGGAGGTCAGAAGAGGGTATTGAATCCCCTGGAACTGGAGTTACAGAGAGTTGTATCAATGGGTGCTGTGAACTAAACCTGGGTCCTCTGCAAAAGTCTTAACCACTGAGCCATCTCTCCAGCCCCAGATGCTCTCTCTTTTTGGCCAGATCTTATCTTCGCCCTGGACCCACCACTGCCCATCACCGTTGATGCATCAGAAACATGTGAGGCTACCTATACCACTCCCAACCCTGGGTGCTTCTCCTCACCTCCAGCTGCACCCTGGCATCTTGGTCCAAGTCACTAGCTCCTGGCCTGGTCCTTTGTCCACTTCTCAAATGTCATCTCAGAACTGACTTGCCCCAGCCTCTGTAGCCTCAACACACAGAACACAGCTGTGTCCCCTTAGCTGCTATGATCAGTGGCCTTATGGATGCCCTTCAGAGTACACCTGCTATGATCCACTACTCTGTCCAGGACAAGAACTTACAGCAGGGTGTGCTCAGCCAGCATGACTCTTAAGAGGGGAGTGTGTGGTCTGCTGGAGAAGGGCCCTGCTCCATAAAGAAGCTGTGGAAATGGGCACTGGGGACCTTGACGTGAGGAGGCAGCATTGGCTCATGAGGACACTCAGCAGGACCAAAGCAGCCTTGAGTCTCAGAAGGCGTGTCCTGCAGGGCCCTGGGTGGCATGTAGCTCTATCCTCTACTGTGTTCTGACTCTTACAATTAAATCCTTTTTGGGGGTGGGGGGTGGAATCCAGGGCCTTGCTCACACCAGGCAAATCTATCACTGATCACCAAGCAGCAGCCCCAGGACCTAGGGAGAGAAAATAATGCCCCTCCTCTTTTCTTTAGTTTTTAATAAGAAAATATTTCATAATTGCAAACACTATGAGTAATTTATGAATTAAAGGACACCTTCAGGACTAGAGAGGTGGCTTGGTGGTTAAGAGCACTAGGTGCAGGGCTAGAGAGATGGCTCAGTGGTTAAGAACACTGGCTGTCCTTGCAGAAAACCTGGGTTCAAATCCCAGCACCCACATGGCAGCTAACAACTGTCTGTAACTCCAGTTCCAAGGGATTGCATGACACGGGTGCACTTATCTACATGCAGGCAATACATACATACACATAAAAATAATAAATTTTTTTTAAAAAAGAGCACTAGCTGCTCTTGCAGAGGACCCAGTTTTGACTCCCAGCACCTACATGATGGCCAACAACCATCTGTAACTCCAGTTCTGGTGCCCTCTTCTGACCTCTGTGGGCATTGCATGACACAGGCGCACTTACAGACATGCAGGCAATATACTCATACACATAAAAAATAAATAACAAATAAATAAAAATATTTTAAGTTAAAAAAGATACCCTGTATCCCCACAGCCCTGCCTGGGCCCAGGTCGTCCCTACCAGCCCTGTGCTATACACACAGTAGGCAGTGCTTCTGGTCCACCTGCAGGTGCACCCATCCTTGTTCCCCAGCAAAAAACGATGCATGTGCCCTCCTAGCAGGAAGCCCGGCCATCTGACCCTGCTGGGCTCCAATATGGAGAGAGGGGCATGGTGTGCTGAGATGGCTTAGTTGTTAATTAGAGGCTATTCCTCTTCATCAGGCAGGGCTCTTGGGCAACACAGGGCAGCTACACAGGTGGGGCATTTCTGGGCACTCAGTACCCAGTATGGGCGTACCTTCTGTCCAGCATTCACTCAGCTCTTCCAGGGGAAGGTAAGGTGGCACCTGGTCCCAAAAACAATGTGGAGATCTGTCCTATGAGCTGCCCTGCATGGTGAGCTGGGGATGCAGACCTGGGAGGGTTTTCTGAGTCTGCACTGCTCAATCCCTGGCCTCACGTGTCTGGCACGGGAGCTGACATGACATCACCCCAGTCCGTCAAACAGTGGCTCCAGGTAGTATTTCAGCTGCATTTCAGTTCTTAGGAACAAGCCCGGTCCAACTCAGGAGTGCAGTACCCAGGAATGAATGAGCAAGTGAGCAAAGATAGTGTGAAGAGGGAGAGAGGAATGAACGAACACAAGTGTCCTCGCTCAGTCCTGCTGGAGGCTGGGTGCATTTGTCCTTGTGCTCTGGGGCCACTCCTCGCCTTTGGGTGGTACCTTGAGCCCTCACCCTTGGGTGGGTGGGGAACCACTGCTCCTCACAGGCAGAAGGGCAGAAGAGGGAAGATCATGCCTTTTGGAGTACTAATCAACCGAGACCTAACCCTACCCACACCCCAGCAGTTCCCAGCAGAGCTCTGGGACACACTTGGCCTTCTAAACTAGTCAGTGCAAGTCACTGTTGTCACCAAGCAAGGGTGGCTGTGAGCATGGGACTGGGGCGGGGGGTCCTTGCCACAAGAGGCCCTCCTCCCTGCTAAACTGGAAGGTCCACTTCTAAATAGAGGGAGAGATGACACATCAGTGTGGGGAAAGGGCCAAGGAGGGCTCTGCCAGTGTCCACCTAGGCAAAGGTGTTGTCAGTCCCCATCACCTTTATGATCAGCTTCTGAGGCATTAAAAAGGAAAACTTGCAGCCACCAGCAGTGACCATGTTTCCCCAGGCACAGGCTGGCTTGGGGATCTGTGTCCCTAGCACGTGGTCCCCAAGGCCTATACTTCCAGCATATTTTTTTAGCTCAAGTAGAATTTTCCTGGCATTGGGTATTTTCTCTTAGATTTTTGGGAAAGAAACATTTGGCATTCAACTATCAGGCATGTTGAATGGCTGAGCTTCCCATTTCATTTCATGATTTGTGTGCACACAAAGACTAAATGGGGTAAAAGGGATAGTCAGCACCCACCTGACCCTCACATTGATATTGTCAGCTGGAGAAGAAGCAGGCCCTGCCTCCCTTCCAGCCACAGATCACAGATGACTACGGCCTGGACAACTTCGATACGCAGTTCACTAGCGAACCCGTGCAGCTGACGCCAGATGACGAGTAAGTCCTGGGCAGGCCACCCCAGGGCACATCCCAATCTGCCCTGAAACGTGTCTGGGTAAAACACATCCTTTGTGGCCCAGCTCCATGAGCAGTACCAGGGGCTGCTGTGGCCAGACCCATGCCTGGTCTCACACCTGAGTCCTGCTTCCCACAGTGGGTTGGGTAGAAAAGAAGGTGGCTGAGGGAGGGGCATGGCCACCACTCTTCACCCCCTTCCTGTACTTGTAGGGATGTCATAAAGAGGATTGACCAGTCTGAGTTTGAAGGCTTTGAGTACATCAACCCGCTTCTGCTCTCCGCTGAGGAATCCGTGTGAGGCCATGAGCATCTCTGTCGTGGACACGCCTGTGAATGACCCTGTCACTTTACCCTTAACCACAGCATATGCATGCCAGGCTGGGCACGAGGCTCCAAGCAGCCCGGAAGGATGCTTGCCACCAAGACCATGGAGGGGCGTCCAACAGGCGCTTCCGGACAGAGCAGCCTCTCGTGTTCAGGCCCCAGAGGCTGGCTTCGTGCTGGAGGAATTGCTTCCTGTGCCCATGGTGGCCCTACCAAGAGGGTAAGACTGTCACACCATTTCGAAGGTGCACATTTTCCACAGAAACAGAACTCGATGCACTGACCTGCTCCAGGAAAGTTAGCGTGTAATGTCCTGAGGAATAAAATGTACCGATGATGTCGAAGCTTCCTCTGATGCCTTTTTTCTGAGTGGCACCCGCCCGATGTCGCCAATGTGGCCCCCATGTGAGGAGGAGCTGCACTTTCCGAGCAGGCAGAACGTAGGCGGGGGACGGGCACCCAAGTGCCTGCAGGGATGCACTGCAAGAAGAATTGTTAGATTCGGAACGTTTTCTAAATCCCGGTAAGTTCCTGTTGTTAATATTTAACAAATATTTTCATACCCAGTGTGCGGCTAGCCGTGGTGGTCCGAGGCTGAACTGACACCCTGGTCAGGTTGGTGGCACTGTTCCTACCAGCCCTTTGGACTCTGATGGGGGAAACTGGATTATAGAGATTCTAAAACATTGCTCACCAAAGCACCAGTAGACCAAAAAAAAAGGAAAACAGAATTGAAAACCCGCACAAAATTTATTTCTGAAAACACTAGCCAGTGCCTCCAAGAAGTCTGTTATACGTTAGATTTTTTGAAAATATTTTTATCATTAATATTCCAGATTAGAAAATTTAAAGACACGTGTGTGATGGACCCTAGCCTTAAAGTGACAGAATACCCACAATCCCGCACTCTCCTGAGGAAGCATGCCCACTTCCGTAACTGCCGTGATCACCATCCTCCTCCTCCTCCTCCTCCTCCTCCTCCTCCTCCTTAGATTAGAGGCAGTTTAGAAAGCCCACCCAAGGCTTTCTGGAACGATGTTCGCTAAGTCTTTAGCAGGTCAGGTGTGGCAGGAGCTGTCATCTAAGCACCTCGGGCAGCTGCTAGTGGGCAGAAGATGAAGCTTCACTGCAGTGACTGCACTCTTGGTCCACCCAAGCCGGGCTGGCCCATGTGGGGAACATGACACGTACCCCAAACCCTGCCAGCATGAGACCCCAAGCCTCCTTGTCAGGCAGGGTGGAGGTTGGTCTCTTGCCACAGTTGCTTCATGCCTTGAGGCTGGTGACCTTGGGGAAAATCAAAACTTGGAGGCTCTGTTGCAGTGCTGCCTGCTTCACCATAACACCCAGTGGCCACCTGCAGCCCTCACCCCAACACACTCAGGTTTCTCAGGCCATCGCCATGTCTGGCGCTGAACACATCAGAGCCACACCCAGGTCCACGGTGCTGGGACAGAACACTAAGCACTCCAGGTCCCAAGGCCCTGAGGCAGCCCAGGCTTCTGGGTGGCTCTAACTTCTATTGAACATGGACACATTTCAACCAGCACTTCCAGTGTCCACCAGTAAGACTTGTCTCCCAAAGACTGGTCAAAAAGATGCAACTACAAGCCAAGAGCCAACTTCTGGGCCCCCCAAGTCCAGCCTGAGGATGTCCAGGTAGCTGGAGTCCCAGGCCGAGGGCTGCGCAGTCACACCTGCCCACAAGAGGAGCTGCTAGGATGCAGAGCCCACAAACGGTCCAAAAGCAGACCAGCTCCGTTCCTCCCAGTGTGCTACCTTAGGGCAGCAACAACTCCTTTGCCTGAACAACACAGGGGCCCTTGATTTGTCAGAATTGGAGGAGTTTATTCAAATATTGCCCTGTTGCCAAATGACTTGCTGATTACTGGTTTGGCTGCTCGTGTACAAACATGTGAATAACATTGTGACCACCAGAAGGGGAGATTTTTATATATAGTAATTTGTTTTATAAATTAAAGTGAAGGATGTATTAAAAATGTGGCTTGGGGAAAAAATTAAAAAAAAAACTAACATTTGCAAACGGCTCCAGGCACGATAGCATGTGTCTTCTGAAAATGGTTCACACACTGGTGATTTCATGATTGTAAAGCAGTAATCATGACCCTGTGGTTTTGTCCAATTGATCAGTGGAGCCCGTCGCTGGCCGGTTTTCCTTCTGTGGATGATGTTCTTGCCCTCCACGGCCCAGGTCGTTCATATTATTGCACATCTATTAAAGACTTTGATGAAAATGCCCTTATTGTTATTATTTTTGTTCAAAGTAGGTATTTGGGGAAAGCAAAAGATTTGATGCCATTTTCCTGCCTAAAAAGTAGAGTTCTTGGAAGTAGAGTTTCTACCTGGAACAGATTGAGCCCCACAACACAAAGCAGAAAGGGGTCCCACACACCTGCACACTCAGGGCCCCCGCTATCGCCATCTCCATGCAATGTGTCTCTCCTCACAGCCGATGTGCCCTCTTTCCCCTGGTATGACTGTAATGTCAGACAGAGCAGCTGGCAGCCCTGAAACGCCCATGCTGCACCTCTGCCTCTCTCCCCCCGGCTCTGGGCAGCCACTGCCCGTGCTCTCTCTATAGTTTTCCCTCTTTTGGGGTATTGTAGGGTTGGCATTGCCACATCGACCAGTGCTAGCTAGCCTGACCAGATTAGGAATTCCTGGAAACCTGGAAGAGCATCATTTTGGGATGCCAGTGAGGATGTTTTCCAGACACTGGTGTGAGATTTACTGGACCAGGTGAGGAGAGCTGTCCCCAGGGAACATCATCCAGTCTGTGAGAGGCCTGGAAGGGACAAACCAGATGAGAGCAGTATGCCTGTCCTGGCCACCCAATTGCAGCAGCACATGGATGTCAGAGCTCCAGGCTTGGTCTTGCCTTCCAGTTCCCTGAGGCTCACCCCAGCAGCCTCTGACTGAGACAGACAGATGCCACTGACTTCCCTGGTTCTGGGGCCCTTCACTTAGAAATCAAGCATCCTAGGATCTCCAACCTGCAGACAGCCTGTCATGAGACTTTAGCCCCCATGATCTTACTTAAGCCAGTTGCCATTGAGTCCCTCTCATCTCTCTACACCTATCTCTTGGCTCCCCTCTAGGAGAACCCTGACACAGCAGCCTTTTCAAGTAGGCCTCATTAGTGAGTTCCAGGCCAGCTGGGGCTACAGAGAGAGTCTGTCTTAAAAAAAATAAAATAAAAATAAAAAATAATCAAGGGGGCTGGAGAGATGGCTCAGCAGTTAAGGGCACTGACTGCTCTTGCAGAGGACCCAGGTTCGATTCCCAGCACCCACATGGTGGCTATGAACCATCCTTAACTCCAGTTCCAGGGGAACCCAAAGCCCTCTTCTGACCTCCATGGCATTGCATGACACGGGTGCACTCACATACATGCAGGCAATGCATTTATATACATAAAAATAAATAAAATACAAAAAAATCAAGTGGGCCTCTTCACCTGGCAACATACATTCACATGGTTTTTGGTTTTTTAAAGGGGTGCTGGGAATTGCACCCAGGCCTCACACACACCAGACAAGTCTTCACCTATGTTGTGCTCCAGCCCCTTCATGTGTTTTTGTGGCTTATAGGAAACTATTCTTTCTCTTAATATTTATCTTTATTTTATGTGCATGAATGTTTCGTCTGCATGTACATAAGTGTACCATGTGCATGTAATGCCCATGGACGCCAAAAGTGGGCATCAGATCCCCTGGAACTGGAATTATGGACAGTTGTTAGCCACCACATGGGTGCTGGGAATGGAGCCCAGGTCCTCTGCAAGAGCAGCCAGGGCTCCTAACTGTTGAGCATCTCTGCAGCCCTCTATTGTTTGTCTTTTTGAGACAGGGTCTCCCTGTAGTCCCAGCTGGCCTGGAATGTACTATGTAGATCAGGCTGGCCTCCATCTCACAGAGATCAGCCTGCCTCTGCCTCTGCCTCCATAGCTCTGGGATTAAAGGTATGTACCACCACACCCACCCACCCTTTTATTTTTGAAACAGGGTCTCATATAGTCCAGGCTTTAACCTCACCATGCAGGAGAGGCTGAGTCTGAACTCCTGATCCAGTACCTTCTCCTGCCAAGCGCTGGAATTACAGCATGTGCCACCACATCCAGCTTGTTAAAACCATTTTTGAAAGGACGTTACAGCTTTCTGGTGATTCTGGGCCTTCAAATCATGCCTGTCCCAACTCCCAGGCCAACACCTGTCTCCATTTACAGGTGCCAGGCACAAGCAAATTTGGTGGGGCATACGTGTCATCCCAGCATTTGAGAGGTAGAGGCAAGATCCGAAGTTCAAAGCTGTCCTCCACTACACAGTGAGTTCCAAGCACAAAGCTTAGAAACAAAACAGAACAGAGTGCCTGTCCTGGGTGGGTGTCAGAGCTCACTCTTTTTAAAAGTTAAAAACTCATTCAATTTTATGTCTTACAGGACTTACACTGAGTTCAATATTGTATAACTGTATTAATTCAACAGCGAACCTATGGAAACTGTTAATGAGTATGTTAAAGCTGTAATGAAATGCTTCTTAAAAAAAAGAATACAGAAAAGATATTAAAAAGCTCTTACAGAAGGTCGGGTGCAATTCCCAGCACCCTCAAGGCAGTTAACTCTGGTTCCAGGGACTCCGGCTCCACCTCTGGCCTCTACTGCCAGGACACATTCCATAGGCCTGGAGCTCAGCCAACACCCATCCCAACCGCCCAGTAAGGGCTAGAACCCAGGGCTTTGTTTAGGCTAAGTGTTCTACCACTGAGACATTCTCCAGCCTTGGTGGATAACACACTTCCATTCTAGTCCTTGGAGACCAGGAAGCCAGCATGGAAAGTTCTGGTGAGGGTCAGTGTTGGGACTGGGGTACAATCCTGTCTCCCAAGGTCCCTTGGATAAGTGTTCTAATGCCCTTAAGGAGGCTCCACCCTCAGGACCTGCACCTCCCAAGGGCTCCATCTCCACATCATTACATGAGGACCTCAATGCAGGAACTGAGGGAGATAGGCTTTCAGTCTATAGCATTGTGTTGTAGGATGAGAAGGTGAGCACACTTAGGTGAATTGAACATGCCTGTGGGGGCTGAAGAGATGGTTCGGCAGTTAAGACCACTTGCTGCTCTTGCAGAGGACCCAAGTTCCGTTCCAGGTACCCATGTTGGATGGCTAACAGCCGACTGTAACTTCTGCTCTAGGGGGATATGACACCCTCTTCTAAGCTTTGCAGGCACTCACATGTACACATATCCACATCCACATATACATGTGATTAAAAAGAAATCTTTTTTTTTTTTAATGCCTGTGAAATGTGACCCACTACATCAGTCCGGAGTTAGGAAAATGTGCTGTACCAATCCAGCCTACCTGCATACAAATGGCTGACTTGGATAGAAATACTCAGTTCTGCCTTGTGACAGATCCTGGCTCCCCTGTCTGGATGGGTGTATATTACTTTTCTTTTGCTAAGACAAAGTACCTGACCAAAACAGCTTCAATATTTGTTGTGCCTCAAGTTGAAGATATAGTCTATCACGGCAGGGAAGGAAGACATGGTAGCCAGGGCAGCTCTACCCGTGGTGGCAGGAGGTCCGAGACAGCTGGTCACGTGGCATCCACAATCAGAAGCTTTCTCTTTTTTCCCTTTACATTCAGTGCGAGCCCAGCCATGGGATGGTCCCACCCACATTCCAGATGGGTCTTCCTTTCTGAGTTAATCCCCTCTGGAAACACCTTCACAGATACACCCAGAGGTGTGTCTCCTAGGTGATTCCAAATCCAGTCAATCAACAATGAAGATGAACCATCACAGCAGGTATGCTGCCCTTCTGACTGTACAAGAGTGAGCAGCATTATGCCCAGTGCCTGTGAACACCATAAGGCATACTCAGGTGTCCACATGAAGACAGCTCAGCAGCTGTATCATGATGCCGATGCATATATCTGGGAGCAGAGGGGAGGGGCAGTGAGGCCAGGCCTGCACCGCCCAGCAGCTCACCACACCACATCTTTGGTACTTTCAGTCAAGCACTGGGCAAGGTGGCTGTCCACATCCAGCTGGGCCAGCCTGCAAGAGAGGAGACAGTCCTAAGACCTCCTTGTAGAGTGTTTACCACAGGAAGGGCACCTCCACCTACTTCTGGACCACTGAGAACTCTGGACTCCTCTGTGGCTGGTCTGCAGGAGGGACAGAAGGGGTCCCCCAACCTTAGTAGATTTGACCAGGCACTACCTGTTGCCTGAGAACCATTCTCTAGGCCAGAGACTCTCACTCAGTCCCACAGACTCCTGCTCTGAGCAGTGTTTGAGGAGCCTCCACCCTATTGGCTAGCCTGGTGCACACTCATCCTGGCCTGTGCCAAAAGCTAACCCCAAAATATCATCTGGGGCTGGTGAGATGGCTCATCTGGTTAAATTGCTTACTACTAAGCCTGATGACCTGAGGTTTGATTCCTGGGACCCACAAGGTAGAAGGGAAGAATTAATTCCTATAGTTGTCCTCTGACCTCCACACATGTACATATACATGTATACACACACACACCCACACACACACAAAATAAATGTAACTTAACAAAAAGCCTATCTGCAGGCAGAGGTAAGTACAGAGGCTGGAGGCTCTACAAGTTCAGAACAGTCCCTCCTCAAGCTCCTAGCCTGATCAAGGCAGATCAGACATTCCAGCTGGACAAACCCATTGAGTGGTTCCATCATCTAGCACCCAGCACACCTTCAGGACAAGTACCTGCCTGATTCCAAGAGGCCCTGCACCCAGGAGGTCCTGCAATTCTAGTCTGGGAATATTTTCTTGATGTGAAAAGACCAAGCTCCACTATGGAGGGTTCAGTCAGCTAGGCTCAGGTCCTAAAATTCTGGAAGGCCCCACATAGCACCTGTACCTCAGGAATACATGATGCTGGACCTGTGGTCTGGGGAGGGTATCAAACCCAGAGAACAAGAGTAGCATACAGACAAGCTTGCCACCCTTGACCTCATTTGACCATCAATAGTCCAAGGAGAGAAGTGTGACTCAAATGAGGTAACCAAGCCAGGGTGGTCACCAGACCTGCAGGGACAATTCCTAGCAGCTGAGCAGATGGACCTAGGTCTTGTTACCCACGTGGCCAGTATCCTGTTGGAATGACTGTCCCTTTTATGCCACTGTTGGGAGACATGCTCCCAGAGTGGCCAAGCCCATTGGACTTCCTGGCTCTCAGGGCTCCTGCTTCCCTCCTGCCTTCCATCCTCAGACAGAGCTTGCAGTCCACCAAGTACCACTCCTCTTCAGATTCCACCTCGTGTCTCTCCATAGCTATGACTCCCAAACCCTACACCCATGACCACCCAGTAACGCCCCTTCCCCAGACCACTACCATCTAGTTCCACCTGAGTGGACTGCCAAATCCCAGTGTAGGTGGTGCATATACTGTCCTTGCAGAGGACTGGAATTCAGTTCCCAGCACCCATGTTGGGTGGCTTACAACTGTCTGTAACTCCAGCTCCAGGGACTCCAACACCCCTGGCCCCCTTGGCAACTACACTCACATGCACATACTTAAAAATGAACTTATTTTTAATGGTGACTACACCAAGTAGATACATACACTGTCCCTTGTCATTGTTCCCTAAGCAATATAGCATAACAGCAGTTCACATCAAGGGACCTAGGGATGCAGGTTCTATGAAATAATAGCTGTTTTCTGTAAAGGACCTGAGCATCTGTAGACTTGGTCAACAGCTGGGGGATCACTGGGGGACCACCTGGATCAAGTCCCCCAAAATATCAAGGGATTTATCTGTGCATGAAATATCTGAACACAGCAGCAAGACCTTGGAACAAAGAACGCACACATGTCAAAGCTAGCACTTAACTTCTGCCACACTTTGAAGTAAAACAGCTCTTTGGATGGCTCAGCACCACCAAGGGAAAGAGAAAATGGCATGGTCCTCCCCAGAGTGTCACCATGCCAGCTCAGGTGGGCAGCAAGGTCTGCACAGGCTACCCTCAGAGGACATTATGACTGCTCAGTCTGTGTCCAACTGCCAAACTGACCTGCTCAGGGCCAGTCTGCCTCCTTGTCCAGGTCTCGCCCATCGTGACAACACTCTTACGATCTGTGCCCCAGAGCACCCTGTACTGTGGTGAGGAGGGAGCTCCTTTTGAGACATGGGACACGTTCTCTCCCTAGCCAGCCTCAGGGAATGAGTCTGGGCCCAAACAGACACTCTCTCCTTTACATTCCAATGAAAGAGTGTGTTAGAGTCACAGCAGACAGGCCAAGACCGGGGCCTACCTTACTGACACCTACTTTGGAAAAATGGAGGCACTTTGCCAAGCCCTCACGCAGCCACTTGAAAAGCACCCAATGGGCCTGTCTTCAGGAGTCTTTTTTTAGACTCTCTAGAAATGCAAGCACAGACAAAAGGCCCCTCTGGAACGGGAGGAAAGTGGGCGTCCTGACAGCTTCAGGAATATTACAGGCTCCCAACCCTGCATCTCTGCCTCTGGGTAGGAGGAAAGGAGGTGTCAGCTTTACAAACCAGGCACAGTCAGGTAACAGGACCCCCACCTGGGGACAGCCACGACCCAATCCAAGCCAACCCACACTCAACACCTCCTTGTCTGAGCTATATGGACATAAGTAGAAAAGGGTGATGTTAGCAAGGCGTGGTGGCACACGCCTTCAATCCCAGCACTTGGGAGGCAGAGGCAGGCAGATCTCTGGTGAGTTCAAGGCCAGCCTGGTCTCCATAGTAAGTTTCACTATGTTGGGGTTACAGGGAGACCCTGTCTCAAAAAGACCAAAAAAAAAGAAAGAAAGAAAGAAAAAGAAAGAAAAGTGTGAGGGTTAGGGTGGAATTGGGGGCCCCCAAATTCAGAAAGGCTTGGTTCTGATAAAAAAAAACCACAGTTTGAAGGCTGGGAAATGGCCCAGTTAGTAAAGTGCCTACATGAGGGCCTGAGTTCGGATCCCCAACAGCTACATAAAAACCAGGCACTGTGACAGCACGTATCTGTAACCCCAGGACTGGCAGTAGCAGGGGAGACACGTAGGTCTCAGGTTTGTGGGCCTGCCAGCCCAGCCAAGTTAATAAGCTCTAGGTTCAGCAAGAGACCCTGTCTCAAAAAAATAATGTGTGCTAGAGAGATAATAGCTCAGCAGTTAAGAGCACATACTGTTCTTCCAGAGGAGTTCAGTTCCCAGTACCCACATCTGGTGGCTGACAGCCACCTCTAAGACTCCATCTCCTGGGAGATCCAATTCCTCTGGCTTCTGAGGGCACCTGCAATGAAGTGTACTAACCCACACAGACACACGTACACACATAATTTAAAATAAAATCTTTTTAAAATAATGTCAAGAGTGATTAAGGAAAACACCTGTGACCTCCATACACACAGGACTTCTGTGAACACACCCACAGGAACACACACATCACACACATTTTGTGGGGCTGGAGAGATAGCTCAGTGGTTAAGAACACTGGTTGTTCTTGTAGAAGACCTGGGTTCACATCCCAGCACCCACATAGCAGCTAACAACTGTCTATAACTCCAGTCCCAGGGGATCCGACAGCCTCTTCTGACCTCCAAGGGCATTGCACAACATGGGTGCACTTAACCAACATGCAGGCAATACATGCATACACAGAAAATAAAAATAAATAAAAATAAAAATTTAAAAGTCACATTTTGGGGGCTGGAGAGATGGCTCAGTGGTCACCTTGAACGTGGGCAGCCGGGGTAACTGCCCTCCACTGTGTGCAGGTCCCAGGGAGTGGACCCCAGTGGACCCCACACTTGCAACAGTGGGATTCGAGTTCTGCAAGTTTCTGTGTGGCTTTAAATGGACAGAGCTAGCTGGGGCAGTAGTGCATGCTTGTAATCCCAGCAGTCAGGAAGGTGAGGCAGGAGTATCAGTGGGGAGTCTGAGGCTAGCCTGGGCTGCACAGTGAAATCCAATCTCGAAAAAAAAACCAACCAGGACTACTAAGACGACTCAAGGCATCTGCTGCCAAGTCTGTGGACCCCAGTTCAATCCCCAGGACCCACAGGGTAGGAGGAGATAACAGATTTCATGTTGTCCTCTGACCTCCACATGCACATGGGCAATACATACATACACATATACATACATACACATACCTAAATAATTTTACTTTTTTTTTTTTTGTCTTTTTGTCTTTTTTTTTTTTGAGACAGGATCTCCCTGTAGCCCCCAGCTGTCCTGGATCTCACTATGTAGACCAGGCTGGCCTTGAACTCACAGAGATCCACCTGCCTCTGCCTCCCGAGTGCTGAAACTAAAGGCATGTGCTACCACGCCAGGCTACTTTTTTAAAGACTTAATTAATAAAAGGCCAGAGTCACACCCAGGAACCGTCTTAAGACTTCTGAACGGGTGGTTTCACACAGGGCTAAGTCTTGAGCCCAGGGTCAGGGGTGGGGCACTCACGTGGGGGCAAACTCCTTTTGGCACATTGGGCAGCTCTGCAAGACTGGTGGACTCTGCACAGACAAACACTCCTGGGTGCTGGGGGTCCCATGGGGATCCGGTGTAGAGTGTTCTTTCAGGGATGCAGTGGGTAGCTCCAGAGGGCCTCCAGCCCCCTGGAACGGCTGGTAGGAGCTACAGGAGACATCAAGAGCAGGTGGAAAAGGCGTCCAGGAAAAGGCCTTGGATCCCACAGTGAAGACCTCAGGAGGTACTGTGGGCTCTGGGCCAGGCAGAGGCTTCTGCAAAACAGGGGCCCATCAGGTCATTGCCAGCAATACCATGACCTCCCCCAGGACCTGGACACTGTCTCCCAGACCACCTCCACTGGTACCTGTGGACACACCTGGCTGGGAAAGGCAGGCAATGGGGGCAATGGCTGGCTGTCCAGGATCAAGTCAGAGTTCACGGTGCTTTGCAAGAGTACAGCCCATGGCTCACTCTGACGGCCTTCCAAGAGAAACCAGGGTCGGTGGCTGGGGGGCCTGGGCAGCATAGGAGGGGTTAACAGAGGGAATTCAGATTATGGGAGAGGGGTTCCACAAGGGAGGCAGGAGGGGGTCCACAGTGAGGGGTCGTGGGGACTCTGCAGTGAGAGGTCAGTAAGGGTCCACAGTGGAGTCATAGAGGGACTACCCAGAAGGGGGTCAGGAGGGGTCCACCCTGGGGTAATGGAGGAGAGACTCGGAAGTAAGGGATCAAGGCGGGGGGATCCACAATGGAGTCATGGAAAGATTCCAAAGTAGGGGATCAATGTGGGAGGGGGGTCCACCGTGGGGTAAAGGAGAGACTCCGAAGTAGGGGATCAAGGGGGGGGTCCACAGTGGAGGGGGAGATGGAGCCTGGGGCGGTGTAGGGAATGGCGGTCGCGGAAGTGAGGTGAGAGTGGAAGAGAGAGGGGGAGCGGGGCTGTGGCACCGCCCCCAGTTCCCGGAAGCACGTGGGAGAGGATCCCCGCAACTCAGCCCGGACTTCGTGGCACCCCCACCACCTCCCCGCACCCCCAGCCGCCCCAGCCCCTCCGCCCCGGTCCCCCTCACCCGCCCCCAGCGGGCGGCCTCCGACGGCTCAGCCTCCCCCGTGGCCTCTGCTCCTCCTCCATCCTCCCCAGCGCGTCCAGCGGAAGTGAGAGCGCGACCCGCCCCCGCCTGGGATATAACTGGCTCCGGGTTCATCGCACCATTGTGACTGTGGAAGTCTGAGGCACCCTGACTCCAGCCTCTGGGGACACTAGGCTGCCGCCTTCAGGGACAGGCCGGATGCACTGGGGCCTCCCTCCAGCCTGCAGGGGGGCCAAGCTGCAGGAAGGCGCAGGACGGCCGGGCCCATCCATCCCCCTGTGCGGGCTGCAGGACGGCCGGGCCCATCATCCCCCCTGTGCGGGCTGCAGGACGGCCGGGCCCATCATCCCCCCTGTGCGGGCTGCAGGACGGCCCGGGCCCATCATCCCCCTGTGCGGGCTGCAGGACGGCCGGGCCCATCATCCCCACTGTGCGGGCTGCAGGACGGCCGGGCCCATCGGCGGCTGGGCCCCAGAGCCTGTGCTGCCTTCTGTTAATATGTGCTGCTGTCAGGCTCGCCCTGGCTCTACCACCTCCCAGCGATTCTAGACAACGTCCTGCCTCAGTTTCCTGTTCTGACATCTTTCCCAGAAGGGCCCCATGCTCAGACAAAGCATCTAGGTCCATCTTTACCACTATCTTCTCCTTATAGGGGGGAACTAGGTTCTTCCACTAAAGAGACACGCAGTAAAGTCGCTAAGTCCAGACCTCCAGCCCGGCCCAGACTGCAAGAAAGGCTCCTTCCTACCTAGCAGATACACCGCCCTGCAATCCCGAAACCTACCACTTGGTGGCAGAAGACGCCCAGGCACCTTGGTGTAGGCGCAGGGATTCTAATTCAGAAGTTTCTGTTCTCCACAGCCCCCAGGGGTCAGGGCAGTTCCAAACACCCTCCTGCGTCCATCTATCTTCCCCGGGCCCCTTCCCATGTTCTCTTCCTAACAGACTCCTTTGACCGCACCTTTCCCCTCCCCCAATCCCTGGGCGAGGTCCCCCTCCCTGCGTGGCCCAGCATGGAAACTGTCCAGGCCAGAGTCTGGGAGTGAAGTCAGGACTGAAGTTGTCTTTTAGCCCCTGCAGATTTGAAGATGAACAAGCTTATTTTCCAAACGTTCTCAGAGCACGCACTAGGGTCTGTTCTGCATTGAGGTGTTTTGGGGGTGGCCAGCCCAGGAACCTGCCTGTACTAGGACCAGAACCCGCAGAAGTGAATGCTGAAGGCACAGGGAATGTACTGCCAGGGTGGTGTAGTCTCGCTAGGCTCTGGGACTGGGCTCCCGGGGTGAGGAACCAGGTGTGAGGGCTCCCAGCTCCCTGCAGAGCCTGCTGATGGAACAGGACCAACTGGCCTGTGTCCCTTGGTCCCCACTGGCCTGTGCTTCTGGGCCTTTCCCCAAAATGTCAGTGTTCTGCAAGGGACCTTGAGGACTCTACGAGGGCTGACACCAGCTCCCAAGAAAGCAGGAAAGTCTGAGGAGAGCAGTGGGTACTGCTATCTGAGTAGGGACTTTTTTAAGTAAGAAAGCCCCCCAGCATATCCACCCCCTAGAACTGGAGCTCAGGGGCTTTTCCTGAGGTCTTCAGCATCCCAGCTTTGCCCAGTTCCCGGCCTCTACAGAGCTCAGATACCCAGACCTCCTGCCCAGGTACTATAGCCACTTAGTCCAAGACAGGTAGGATAAGGCAGGACCAGAAGCTGTTGCAGCTACCCAGGCAGATTGCTATTCCAAAGATTTGCCTCAAAGCTGTGGGGTCCTGAAGGCCGTCTCTACAGGTGCCTCAAGGCTAGGAAGGTGCAGGCTCTTGGGGCACAGAAGGTGAGGGGACTCCATTATTTTTGGGGTTTAGCCACCCCAATTGCCCTTAGTTATCTTTGGCTATCAGGAGAAAGGGGTGTTGACCCAAACCAGACAGCACCAGTTGTAGACTACGAGTCCTCTGGGTCCAGGGCTCTTGAACAAGTGTGAACACTCTCCTCTTGGGGCTTTGCTAGGGCTTCATTCTCAGGATTAGCATCTCTCTCTTCCCCCTTGCCACTGGAGAGTGAGCCCAGAGAGAGGCTTTGTGGCCTGCAGCCTGAGACTCTTCCACACAGAATGCAGCTAAGAGGGACCCTGCTCAGCACCTGGCCCCCATCCTTCCTGTGCACCACCGCCCTTACAACTCGGGTCACCTGAGGCCTGAAAGGTCCAGGCATTTTTAGGACCTCTGGGAGGTAGAAATGGGGGTACTGGGTACCTTTAACAACCCCACCTTGACTGTCTGTCCCCCAAATTATCAGCACAATGGAGTTAAAAGTTGAACTTCAAAGACAGAGAGATGGCTTAGCAGGTAAAGATGCTTGTTAAACGACCCTGACAATCTGAGTTCAATCCTGAGAACGGGAACCCATGTGAAAGTGAGAAAACACCCACAAAGTTCTTCTGACCTTTGCGCCCGCGTGCGCGAACACACACCCACACACAATAATAATTAATAAAAAGGTTTTTCATTAATTTTTTTTTGGTCTTTTTTATTTTTTTGGTCTTTTTGAGACAGGGTCTCCCTGTAGCCCCAGCTAACCTGGAACTCACTATGTAGACCAGGCTGGCCTTAAACTCATAGAGATCTGCCTGCCTTTACCTCCTGAGTGCTGGGACTAAAGGCATATGCCACCACACCTGGCTAAAAAATTTTTAAACCCAGCACTCAGGAGGCAGAGGCAGGAGGATCTCTGTGAGATTGAGGCTAGCCTCATCTACATAGTGAGTTCTAGGCCAGCTGGAGCTATACAGAGACCCTGTCTCAAAAAAAAAAAAGAACATTTTTTAAAAGTCGAACTCCGAGGGCCAGGTGTGGTGGTGCACGCCTTTAATCGCAGCACTCGGGAGGCAGAGGTAAGCAGATCTCTGTGAGTTGAAGGCCAGCCTGGTCTACACTGTGAGTTCCAGGACAGCTGGGGCTACAGGGAGACCCTGTCTCAAAAAGACCAAAAAAAAAAGTTGAACTTGGGCTGGGGAGATGATTCAATGAGTAAAGGGCTTGCTTCACAACATTGGTTACCTGAGTTCAATCCCAGAATCCATGTATAGCGTGTCTATTATCCCAACAGTTCTGTGAGATGGGAGACCCATGTAAAGTCAAGTATGGTAGTGTGTCTATAATCCCAGCCCTCCTGCTGTGAGATGGGAGACCCAGACAGGAGTAACCCCAGAAGTTTGGGCCAGCTAGCCTGGTATACACAGCAGTAAACAAGAAAAGGCTATCTCAAGGTAGAAGGCAAGGACCAGCACCCACAGTTGTCCTCCAATCCACACATGTGCAGTGGCATGTGCACACCCACACTCACACACACGTACATCTCACACACAGGGGCAGGGGGAGTAAATAAAATTAAAAAGTAAAAGTTGAACTTGATGAAAAGGCTCAGTTTCCTAGATTCATCTGCTACGGTGACAGGGAGTCAACTTTATTGGAAAATAATTTACTGCAGAAACAAGTTTATTATGAGCCAAAAAATCATGTTTACAGGGGCTGGAGAGATGGCTCAGTGCTTAAAAGCACTCGCTGCTCTTCCAGAGAACCCAAGGTCAGTTCCTAGCACCCATACCAGTTGGTTTACAACTACCAGTAACTCCAACTCCAGGGGATCTAAAGCCCTCTTCTGGCTTCCACAGACACCTGCACTCACATGCATATACCCATACACAGACACACATAATTAAAAATAAAAATTTTTCTTAAAAATCATGTTTAGGGCCTGGAGAGGTGGCTCAGGGGTTAAGAGCATTTGCAGTTCTTCCAGAGGACCTGAGTTTGATTCCCAACAACCACATGGTAGTTGTCACCTTCTTTTGGACTTTATGGGCACTGCACAAATGCTAGGCATACATGCAGGCAAGCAAAACACTTTTACAAATTTTTTTAAAAAATCATGTTTGGGTTGGGTGTGGTGGTACCTCTCCTTTAATCCCAGCACTTGGGAGGCAGAGGCAGGGGGATCTCTGTGAGATCAAGGCCAGCCTGGTCTACATAGTGAGTTCCAGGACAGCTGGGGCCATAGGGCCATGTTTACAAAAGGATATTTCACCGATTTGGAGAATATGTATGGCTGAAACAGAAAGCGCCCCAGTGTTTGGAGGCAGTGGAGTCCTGAACTTACAAACTGGCCAGGTTGGGGGCCACTTTCCTCTCTTGGACTCCATCTGCCACTAGGCAGTACACTTTTAGAGAAAGAGCCCAAACTGCACCCTCCAAAGCTGGTTGCAAAAATGAAGAGGGTCTGCCAGCCAGGTGGGGACTATTCCCCTCCTTCCCCTTCCACCACCAAGGAACAGGTTGGTGTCTCAGCAAGCTGTGTCCTCAGAGCATACAGATGGGGTCCTTACTCCCTTATTGGCAAGACTGGACCCAAGACTAGCTTCTGCCCCTGATGGAGCTGGTCAGCTACTGAGCCAGGTGAACCTGTCAGTTAGACTCTGGCCTGAAGATTTTGGAGGTGAGCCACATTCCTCTTGGCTTCCCTACACCCTCCTTGCCTTCTTGGGGGTTGGGTTTGCCATCAGTCTACCCTACAAATGGGTCATGATAGAGGCTGTTAATGAACAACCCCAGAAAGAGGCACAGGCCTCTAATTTCCCAGTCTGCAGTGGGTGGCTGTGCCCGAGTACATGTGCACGGCACTTGGCTATCTCCATCCTTACTGTGTGGCAAAACAGCATGTCATCCATGCAGGGTGCCCCAGAAGCGCCTGCTGGCTGCATGAGGATGGCCGAGAGTCCTGGGCTATCTTCCCTGCATGAGTAGCCTTCTGACGCAGCCGGGCAGCAGGCTGCATTCCCCACACCTGCTGGCCTATGTGTGCCAAGCAGGCAAGGCTGCCTGGAGCCAGGCACGGCGGCATTTACAGGGTGTGGGAGTGCCAGGCAGACAGGCTGTATGAGACAGTTGCCTGGGAAACATCGCAGGATCCGCCAGGCAGCAGAGTGGTTGTTCAGGCCCACACATAGGGTGTGGGGGCAAGGATGTGCAGGAGGTAGGGGGGGAGGTGGGAGAGTGGGAGGGGTTCAGACACTGCAGCTCTCTATTCACACCTCCTCATGGCCTCCAATTGGGGAT